GTTTTTTTTAATAAATATATATATATATATATATATATATTTATAGATGATATAAGTGTGTTTGTATATCTGTATTAAATGAAGTGTGTGTGTGTGTGTGTGTGTTCAGAGTAAGTTGGTGATGGAGGGCTTCAGGAGCTTACGGGAGGGCGAGCAGGTTGAATTCACCTTCAAGAGGTCGAGTAAAGGTCTGGAGTCGCTCAGGGTCACGGGGCCCGGCGGGGGCCCATGCTCGGGAAGTGACCGACGCCCCAAAGGCAAGGCCCCGCCCCTCAAACGCAAACCAAAGGGAGACCGGTGAGTGCGCCGAGCATGATGGGATATGTAGTTAAATACATTTTGTCTCGATTTCTCTGGACAAAAATCATAATTGTCAGTTATTCCCTTGAAATTGTAATTGCGATTATTAATTACGATCATCACAATTTACATTGAATGATGTTTATACCATTGTTTGATGCAACTGCATGCTGTATTTTTATATGAAAATAAACAAGCTGAAAACACTCTAACTGAAAAACTTTTAGTGCTTAATCCATCGAAACGCTTAAAGAAATTACTTTCTGTGAAGGTTTCATTTGTTAACATTACATTATGTAACATAAATGAACAATTAACAATTCTTCTACAGAATTTATTAATATTTAATAATGTTAATAATTTTTTTAATCTATCTGTTAAACTAACATGACTAAAATGAACTAATGTTAATGAAATATATTTCTAATTGTTAATTGATGTTAGTGAATGCATTAACTAATGTTTACAATTGAGACCTTTATTGTAAACTGTTGCCCAAATTAAGACGGGTAACTTATTTTATTTTGTTTTAAATGTTTCTAATTCAAAATGTACCTATATTGCATAATAACATTAATAAATAATAATAAATTGATATATAAAATAGACCCGGGGAATTATATAATTACATACTGCAGTTCCTCTGTTTAAAATATTCCTTAATATAAAATCATTTATTTATTTATGAATAATTTCATAGCTTATTTATTTAGGATTATTTATCTAAAATCTTTTATTTCGATCTTACACAAGCATTTTCATCAGACTCGCTGCTTTTGATTTGATGTAGACGTGTTTCGGGGTTCAAATTCTCTCCTTTTCTCTGTATGAAAGAATCAATTCCAGTATTGATAATGTCTGTGAAGCCACATGAATTACTTTTCAATGTAGACGGCTCATAGTTTGGTTTCGCCAAACGCTTTTCTGTTCACGACTCATGGATTGTGAGTCTGTCTTCTACTTCCCGTTGCCATGGTGATCAGAGCAAAAAAATACAAACTGAATAAGTCTTTTCAGTCTGTTGTGTTAAAGCTATTTATAAGTATGTATATGCATGTGTGTGTGTGTGTGTGTGTGTGTGTGTGTGTGGGTGAGCCCTTTATCATATAGTCCATGTGCTAACAAAAAACTAGACATGAGATGATGGAAGTTTTGTTGAAGACGACAGATCGGGTGACACTCTCAGACCTGAACTGATGATAAAAAATGAATTTATGAAGAATTCTTGAATCTGTTGGAAACTGAACAGGTATATTAGGACACAGCTTAAAGCGTAAAAATCAGTTTATTCCCTAAAGTCACTGAATAATTGAATTAAACATGGTAGCTAGCTAATCAATGACAGTGTACATGTAACTAAAAACCATCAGACAGCTGATTTTATCTCAATAATTTTCAGTGTTTTTGGCAGATACTGAAGATTTGCAGCTAAAAGTTCAAGATCATGTCATTATCATCTTAAATACATCAGTTTAATAAATCTTTAGTTTAGATTAGATTCAAGAATTTCGTTTAACGGTTCTTTGTATCTAGAGTCTGAATGTCATCAGAAAAATGATGGTGTAAATTTAACTACGCAATCTTTAGATTTTATGTTAGTTCAAGATCATGTAATAATCGTCTTAAATACAATCATTTAATTAATAGAAATATTTAGATTAATAGTTACATGAGAGAAATGAATTGTTTTAGTTTAACAGTTCTTTGTATCTAGAGTCTGAATCTGAAACTTTTAGACATCTGATTTTATGTCAGTTTATCAGTTAAAATACAGAAATATTGCCTGTATTTTCAGTGAATACTGAAATGATATGTAGCTGAAAGTTCAAAAGCATGTAATAATTGTTTTAAATATAATTACGAGGTTAATAGAAATCTTTATCAGTGTTTTTTTGTTTTTGTTTTTGCGTGTAAAGTCTGGATGTGATAAGGAAAATTATACCGTCAAGATTTTCTTTCCACAGTTTTCATGTTTCAGTTTTTATGTTATGATATTAAAGATAAAAAATGTATGCGTATGGTCATTTTCCATTTTCCATGAACATAGTGTTTTTAGATGTGAATGTGTGAGGAGTCAAAATGATCAAAATGTCATTCATAAACATTTGTCAAGTTTGTCAGTCTAATATGCAGCTGTGATGCTGTAGTTAATCCACTCTGCCACCTACAGGCTCAAAACAGTCAGTGCACATACAGACAAATAGCATGTCTAGTCCAATTTAATCAATTATTTGTGTTTTTCAAGCAGTGGTTATTGTATGTTGGTTTCAAGCACCTAGTTTTAAACCCTATTAAATTATATGGTAATATTTTATTTTAAGATGACGTAGTTACACACATTACATGTACTTACTATAGCAATAACAGTAAATTATGCATAATTACAACCAATTAACCCTAACCCTAATAGGTTATGCAGTTAATTAATATGACTCAGTTCTTATTTGTCTAATTACACTGTAAAAACATCACCTTAAAATATATTGTAACCTATTAAAATAATTAGATCCCTCGTAAATGCAGGTTGGGGCAAGTTGTCCCATGTCTTTAAAAAAAAACAAAAAAACATTCAGTTTCCATTTCCATTCAGTGGTATGTTTGTTTTTTTCTTAAACTAATTGTTTTACCTGTAATAGATATTTATACACATATTTTAATGCAGATATGCTGTGTAAGATGATTTACGTCATATAATCCTTCTAGTAACTATTTTTCTCCAAAATTAATATTCGTTGACTATTAAAAGAGTACTCATATGAGAGACATGTAACAGTTTTGTAAGAAATAATTTGCCTTTGACAGTAGTCAGATGTAATTTGCCATTATTATACAAAAATACTATATATGACTGCAGAATGCTGTGATCGACCAATCAGAATGAAGTATTCCAGAGGGCAGTGTAATAATATATCCCTCTCTCTCTCTCTCTCTCTCACTCACACACACACACATTAGTGGAACTGAGAGATTTGATTATCTATATTTAGAGCTATAATGTCATTTCCTACTCTGGTTTCCATGCACCGGAATTTCCTTGGCAACCGAAGGCTCCATGGTAACATACAAGGTTTCTGTTAACTACTAGACAATTCCTCATGATCACAGTCACTCAGTTCCCTCATATCTAACAAAAGAGCTGCAAACTGTATTCTTGAATCTTATTTGTATTGTTTGTGGCTATGAATCATAATGTTATTATTGTTACACTTTAATGTAGGAATTACTGGGCTGGGTTTATTTTTGACTCCTATATGTTTAAAACAATACTTATTAAATACTGTAGTGCCTATTTTCTATGAAAAAAAAATTTTTTTTTGTATTTTGAGTATTTCTATGAGGGATATTTGTTATTGGAGTAAGTCCTATCCTGTACTGCCCTCTAGTGACCAACACGGGGTTTGAGAAAAGTCCAGGTCACATTTCATTCCCAAAAAAGAAAGAAAGAAAAAATTATGTTTTGCATTAAAAAGCTTGTTTTTATGAATATTATGGTTTTTTTATTTATGGGGG